TCAATGGATCACTCTATGAACTCATATATTAACTCGTCTATAGACTAGTCTATTGACTAGTCTGTGCAGTAGTTTATTGACTCTTCTGTAGACTAGTCTATGGACTATAGAATGGTCTGTTGACTTGTCTATAGACTACTCTAAATACTCGTCTATTGACTGCTAACAAATATGTAGAATATTTCATTGACTAAGTCTATGAACTAGTCCATTTACAAGTCAATGCACAACTCTATGGACTCGTTTATTGACTAGTCTATGTAATAGCTTTTTGACTAAACTGTGGAATGTAAACTAGTCTATGGAATAGGCAGTTGACTCTTCTATGGATTAGTCTATAAACTATAGACTCTTCTATAGACTAGTCAATTTACATGTCAATGGACCACTCTATGAACTTGTATATTGACTAGTCTATGGACTCGTCTATAGACTAGTTTATGGAGTCATCTATGAACTATAGAATAGTCAGTTGACTCGTATATAGACCAGTGTATGAACTATAGAATAGTCAGTTGACTTGTCTACAGACTAGTCTATTTACATGTCAATGGACCACTCTATGAACTCGTATATTAACTAGTCTATGGACTGTCTATAGACTAGTCTATGGACTGTCTATAGACTAGTCTACGGACTCGTCTATAGACTAGTCTATGGACTGTCTATAGACTAGTCTATGGACTCGTCTAGTGACTAATCTCTGCAGTAATTTATTGACTCTTCTATAGATTAGTCTATGGGCTCGTCTATTGACTAGTCTGTGCAGTAGTTTATTGACTCTTCTATAGACTTGTCTATGGACTCTTCTGTTGACTAATCTGTGTAGCTGTTCATTAACTAGTCTATGAACTGTTAACTAACCTATGAACCAGTCTATGGGTAATTTTTTAACCAGCCTATTGACTACTTTATGGTGTGGTGTGTAGACTAGTTTATGGACTTGACTATAGACAAGTTTATGGACTAGTTTATTGGCTAGACTATGGGCCAGTCTATTAACTTATCTGTTGACTATGATATAAAAAAGTACTTCAAAGTAAAAAGTACTGAAAAAGTACATTAGTACTAGTTGCTATATAAATTTTTAAAAGATTTAAGATTTTTAAATATTTTTATAATTTTTTTATATGAATCAAAACGTCAGAAGACGCTTTTTTTACTTATAAAATTTATAAATAAAGAACTCTGACAGAAATGCAGACAATAATTACCTTTTTAAAAAAGAGTTTATACAAAATATTCATACGCCTTTAAACAAAGAATAAAAATGATTTAAAAATACTTTTTTTTAAAAAGAAATAAAGCAAAAAAAAAAAACAAAAAAGTATTTAAAAAAAATACACAAAATTTGCATTTTTAAAGAATACTTTGAACTTAAAACGCTAACACAATTACACACACACACACACACACAAGAAATTAACACTGCAGACTCAATTAACGGTCGTTTAAAAAGCCATAAATTATATAAAATATTTATAAATAATAATTAAAATGATAATACATATTAATAATGTAAAAAGAGGTGTTTAAGTGTTGTAAAAAATAGAAAAAATTAATAATAATTTGGTATTAAATTTTTGTTTTAATTTTAAAACAAATAATAAAACAAAATTGTTAACAACAAAAATTGTAAATAAAATATCTAATTAATGTTTTTTTGTATGATTTTTGAAAAAAAATTTTGTTTTATAAAAAATATAAATTAAAAGAATTTTTTTTAAAGGAAAAAAATTTTATTTTTTTGACAACAATTAGATATTTTACCTCAATTTTTCAACAATTGTTTAGTTGCTGTTAGTTGTTGTTGTTGGCTGTTGTTAATAATTTTTGTAATTTTTGTTGCTTTTGTTGTTTATTTTTTGGAGAAATTTTAAGAATTTTTTGTTTTGTTTTTTAAGTCTCGAGGCTAGTGTTTTACAAACTCCTGGAAAATATACAATAAACAGAGAGATCATTAGGTTTAAACTAAGAACTTTTAATATCTTTTAATGGAATTCTTAATTTTTTTAAATTTTTTTAATTGAAAACACTTTTTCTTTTATATTTTATTACATTTTTCACTAGATTGTTGCTATTGTTTTTGTTTTAAGAAAAGTTTGTCATATTGATGTAAGATATTAATTGATTTTTCTTTAGTTTAGTTGATAACATGTATTTTTGTTCAATGGAATGGCTGTTTAAGTGTTTTTTTAAAGGTTTTTATTAAAAAAGTTTTACATTTTTGTTCTTTAAAATTCTTTATTAGTTTGTGTCATTAATATTTGTCATATTTACGTAGAATTTTAATTAATATTTTTAGTTTTTAATTAATAGTTTATTGTTTAATATTTATAGTTTGTAATGTTTATAACATTTTCATTTTATAGTTTTTGTTTTTTTTTTTAATTTTCTTCTAATTGTTATTAAGTTTTAAACTTGAACTTTTTATTTTAATTAACTTTTTTATTACAGTTTTATTTTATTAATTTTGTTATTTTTTTTTAAACTTTCATTTTATTTAAATTTTATTTTCACAAGGTTTCTTTTCTAAATCACATTTTGTTTAACAACTTTTTGACAAAATTTTCAAAAAAACGTCAAAATTATAAATAAATAAAGTCCAATTATATTTCATTTTATTTAAATTTTAGAAAGTTTGTTATTATTTAAAAAAGTTTCTCAGTCTTTTTTTTTAACATTTTCAAAACAAATTCAATAACATTTTTATTTTGAAATCAGCTGATTTTAAAACACTTTTTCTACACAAATTTGGAAATTTCTAGAAAAAAATTTTCACGCCACTTTTGTTAAAGAATCATACTCTCTTTCTCTCACTACTCTCTCTCTCTTTGAGTTCATTTAACACTTTTATTTGAAAACTAGTTTTCTTTCAATTGTAATTTTTATTTAAATATTTTTTAAAATTTTATTTTATTAATTTTTTTCACTTCTTTGGCTTGCAACAGAGTTTCTTTTTCATTATAAAGTTTTTGAAAAGTCCGGATTTGAAAATTTTATTGAAATTTTAAATTTTTTCTTAATTTTTAAAGTTTTTCACTTTTCTTAATTGAATCTTTTTTTCAGGCTTAAGTTCTAGTCCTAGTGGGTGATAAAATTTTCACTTTTCTTAGATTTTAACACAAATTTTCATTTAAAAAACACTATTTTATCTAGAATTGTTTTGAAATTTAAAGTTTAAAAATAATATTTTGTAGTTTGTTTAAATTAATAGAATTTTGACAAAATATTCACATTTTATAAATTTTTTTTCAAACAGTTTTTAAAACACTTTTTAAAATTTTGATTTCATTCAATTTAAATATGAACTTTAACTAAATGTTTGTTTTATTTCAAAAGTTTTTTATATTATAATAATTATAAAAATTTTTGAATTTTAAGGATTTGAAAAAATCTAAATTTTTTTAAATTTAAAAAATATTTTACACAATTTTTTAAAATATTTTTTTAAATATTTTTAATAATTTTAAAATTTCCAAAATATTTTTTTTAATTACAAAATATTTTAAATATTTTTTTTAAATTTCAAAATATTTAAAATAATTTCTTTTTAATTTAAAAAATATTTTAAACTAATTTTTAAAATTTCTGAAATATTAAAAAAAAATTTTAAATTTTAAAAATATTTTAAATAATTTTTTGAAATTTCAAAAATGTTTTAAATAATTTCAAAAACATTTTAAATTACTTTTTTAAAACTCACAAATATTTTAAATTATTTTTTTTTTTTTAATTTAACAAATATTTTAAACAATTAAACAAATTTTTAAAATCTCCTAAATATTTTTTTTTAAATTTTTAAAAATATTTTAAATAATTTTTTAATATTTGAAAATATTTTAAATAATTTTTAAAAATTTTCAAAATATTTTAGATCATTTTTTAAGATTTCTAAAATATTTTAAATATTTTTATTAAATTTTAAAAAATATTTGAAATAATTTTTTAAAAATTTCAAAAAGTTTTTTTTTTTCAAAATTTCCATTTCTTTTCATTTTCAAAGAAAATTTGGAAGTTTTAATAAAATATAACTTTAAACTATTTTTTTTTAATTTTCAAGAATTTTTAAAAATATATCAAAATTTTACTAAATTAAAATTTTTTATTTTTTTCAAATTTCAAATATTTTATAAAAATTTTATAATTTTGTAATTTAAAAAACTTTTAATTTAATAACAACTAAAAAAAATAAAACAATTTTTACTTTTTAAAATTAATTTTGAAATTTAAAGAAAACATCACTTAATACTTGTTATTAAAATGTTTATTCAGTCTTTGATTATGTTGTAAAATTGATTTTAAATTTGAAATTTTGAAAAAAAATTGAAATTTTTTAAAACTATTTCTTTAAAATATTAATATTATAAATCATTTTTAAAAGTATTATCACATTTTCTTTAAAATATTTGTTTTTGGCTTTATTTTTGTTGTGATATTTTGTTATATAATTTTTTTTTAAATTAAACTGTAAACTGATTTTGTATTGAAAATAATTGCACTGGAAAATTTTGAAAAAATTCACTTTTTTTATTAAATTTTAAAATGTCTTAACAGTTCGTTGAAGATTTCAATTTAACACTTTTTCTTTTTAAAAAATCAATATTTTTATAGTTTTTTTATAAATTTGAAATTTTTAGAATTTTTTTATTTAAATCACACATTTTGTAAATTTTTGTTTAAAATTTTTGAAATATTTTTAAAAAATTGTTTTCACATAAAAAAATTTTAGATTTTTTAGTTAAAATTTCTGTTTATTTTAATAATTATTCAATAATATTTTGAATTATCAAGTTTTTTTTTTTAATTTACTTAATTAATTTCTTAAACACTTGCCATTCCATTCCTTATGTTTAAACATAAAAATCTCTCTAATTACAAAAAATTTCTTTAATTAACACTTTAATTTTTCTTAATTTTCTTACTTTTTGCAACACTTAAAAAAAAAAACACCTGTTTTTTTTCTATTTGTTTGTTTTGGATTGATTTTGAAAACTTACTTTTTGGAATTACGTTTTGTTGTTTGTTTCGAAAACATGGGAATTTTGTCAACAATTAATTGCATGTCTTGAAAATCCGTTAGGGGTCAATGAAGATATTTGAGAATTTTTTTCTCGCTCATTTAAACAACACTTTGTTAAAGAAAAAAATTCTCTAAAAAACAAAATAAAATTTTCGAATTTGTTGTTGTTGTTATTTTTCAATAATTCGTTGATTGATGAGTTAATTAAAGCAGCAACAATTAGTTTAATCCATTAGGTAGTAGTTGTTGCTTTTGTTGTTGTTGTTAATATAATCCATTAGCAATTGTTTGGGATAAATAATTTGTTTTTGTTTATTTTTTTTAATACTGTTTGTGTTGAAATGTAATCCACAACTTGGTTTAGTTTTTTTAAAAAAATTTTATTTTTTTTTTAAATCAACAGGAACTTTTTTTTAATAATTATTAATTAAAAATTAATTTTTGGGTTTAATTTATTTTCTTAAAATTTGTTTTTATTTGGAATTATTTTCTTAAGAATTTTGTTTTTCTTGCAATACTGTTTTATTTTTATATAGAAATTTTCTCTTAAGAGAAATTCTTTTAATTTTAAGTTGTTTGTAGTTTTTTCACTTAAAAACTTTTCTTTTTGTTTTTATTATTATTATTTTGTTTAATGGGGCCTTTTTTTCTTTATTTTTTGCTTTAATTGGCCACTAAACTTAGCACCTGGTAAATGCTTTTAACTAAAACTTGGTAAACAAAAAAAAATTCACTTGCTACACTTCACTTGTCATCTAAATTAACCGGTTTTTTTGAAATTTTACAAAAAAAATTTCAAAATTTTATTTTTCTTAAAAAAATTTTCTGGTTTAAATTAATTTTAAAATATTTTTTAAATAAATCTGTTTTTTTTCATAAATTCTTCACTTTTTTTTCATACAATAGATATTTCTTGTTGTATTTCACTTAATTTTCTTGTTTATTAATTTTATTTTAACCGTGTCACGCGTTAGATTTTTAAAACATGACGACATTTGACAGCAGCCAGAAAGGAACTAAACAACCGCCAGAGTCACGACACCGCACAAAACTCACTGACTGACGACAATGGCGATTATGAAGACAACAAAACGTATGAAACGACATCGACATTATGAACAATAATAAAATGAATAAAAAAAAACACACAGCAGAAAAAAAAAACAAACAAACTCACAGATACACAAAAACACACACACACTCTCTTCTATACACGTAACACACACACACAAAACATCTACTCTATACAGTTTATGCATAGAAAAGCTGGTTGGTTGGTTGTTCGATTTGTCGAGAAGACAGGCAGGAAGGCTGTTAGCAGCAGTTCTTGGAAGCGGGTAGGGCAGCAGGCAAGGCAGGGAAGTTCACAACATTTATTACCAAAATGTTCGTATTAACGTTTCATACTTCATGACGACTTCTCTTCACACTCGCACTCATAGTATCTGCCAGGTATGGATAATTGAGTGTGAACTTTTTGGCATCGAACAATAACGGACAATAATTTCTGTAGTCTAGTCTATAATCTAGCCTATAGTTTATTCTATAGTCTAGTCTTTAGTCCAGTCTAGTTCTATAGTCTAGTCTATAGTCTGGTCTATAGTCTAGTCTAATCTATATTTTAGTCTATAGTCTGGTCTATAGTCTAGTCTATAGTCTAATCTATAGTCTAGTCTATAGTCTAGTCTATAGTCTAGTCTATAGTCTAGTCTAGTCTAGTCTAGTAGTCTAGTCTAGTCTATAGTCTAGTCTATAGTCTGTCTAGTCTAGTCTAAGTAGTCTAGTCTATAGTCTAGTCTATAGTCTAGTCTATAGTCTAGTCTATAGTCGTCTATAGTCTAGTCTATAGTCTAGTCTATAGTCTAGTCTATAGTCTAGTCTATAGTCTAGTCTATAGTTAGTCTATAGTCTAGTCTATAGTCTAGTCTATAGTCTAGTCTATAGTCTAGTCTATAGTCTAGTCTATAGTCTAGTCTATAGTCTAGTCTATAGTCTAGTCTATAGTCTAGTCTATAGTCTAGTCTATAGTCTAGTCTATAGTCTAGTCTATAGTCTAGTCTATAGTCTAGTCTAGTCTAGTCTATAGTCTAGTCTATAGTCTAGTCTATAGTCTAGTCTATAGTCTAGTCTATAGTCTAGTCTATAGTCTAGTCTATAGTCTAGTCTATAGTCTAGTCTATAGTCTAGTCTATAGTCTAGTCTATAGTCTAGTCTATAGTCTAGTCTATAGTCTAGTAGTCTATAGTCTAGTCTATAGTCTAGTCTATAGTCTAGTCTATAGTCTAGTCTATAGTCTAGTCTATAGTCTAGTCTATAGTCTAGTCTATAGTCTAGTCTATAGTCTAGTCATAGTCTAGTCTATAGTCTAGTCGTCTAGTCTATAGTCTAGTCTATAGTCTAGTCTATAGTCTAGTCTATAGTCTAGTCTATAGTCTAGTCTATAGTCTAGTCTATAGTCTAGTCTATAGTCTAGTCTATAGTCTAGTCTATAGTCTAGTCTATAGTCTAGTCTATAGTCTAGTCTATAGTCTAGTCTATAGTCTAGTCTATAGTCTAGTCTATAGTCTAGTCTATAGTCTAGTCTATAGTCTAGTCTAGTCTAGTCTATAGTCTAGTATTGTCTAGTCTATAGTCTAGTCTATAGTCTAGTCTATAGTCCAGTATAGTCTAGTCTATAGTCTAGTCTATAGTCTAGTCTAGTCTAGTCTATAGTCTAGTCTATAGTCTAGTCTATAGTCTAGTCTATAGTCAGTCTATAGTCTAGTCTATAGTCTAGTCTATAGTCTAGTCTATAGTCTAGTCTATAGTCTAGTCTATAGTCTAGTCTAGTCTAGTCTATAGTCTAGTCTATAGTCTAGTCTATAGTCTAGTCTATAGTCTAGTCTATAGTCTAGTCTAGTCTATAGTCTAGTCTATAGTCTAGTCTATAGTCTAGTCTATAGTCTATAGTCTAGTCTATAGTCTAGTCTATAGTCTAGTATAGTCTATAGTCTATAGTCTAGTCTATAGTCTAGTCTAGTCTATAGTCTATAGTCTAGTCTATACTCGTCTATAGTCTTGTCTATAGTCTCTATAGTCTAGTATATAGTCTAGTCTATAGTCTAGTCTATAGTCTAGTCTATAGTCTAGTCTATAGTCTAGTTTATAGTCTAGTCTATAGTCTTGTCTATAGTCTAGTCTATAGTCTAGTCTATAGTCTAGTCTATAGTCTAGTCTATAGTACTAGTATATATACTAGTATATAGTCTAGTCTACAGTCTAGGCTATAGTCTAGTCTATAGTCTAGTCTATAGTATAGTCTATAGTCTAGTCTATAGTCTAGTCTATAGTCTAGTCTATAGTCTAGTCTATAGTCTAGTCTATAGTCTTGTCTATAGTCTAGTATATAGTCTAGTCTATAGTCTAGTCTATAGTCTAGTCTATAGTCTAGTCTATAGTCTAGTCTAAAGTCTATAGTCTAGTCTATAGTCTAGTCTATAGTCTAGTCTATAGTCTAGTCTATAGTCTAGTCTATAGTCTAGTCTATAGTCTAGTCTATAGTCTAGTCTATAGTCTAGACTAGACTAGACTAGGCTATAGACTAGACTAGACTAGACTATAGACTAGACTATAGACTAGACTATAGACTAGACTATAGACTAGACTATAGACTAGACTATAGACTAGACTATAGACTAGACTATAGACTAGACTATAGTCCAGTCTATAGTCTAGTCTATAGTCTAGTCTATAGTCTAGTCTATAGTCTAGTCTATAGTCTAGTCTATAGTCTAGTCTATAGTTTAGTCTATAGTCTAGATAAGTCTAGTCTATAGTCTAGTCTATAGTCTAGTCTAAGTCTAGTCTATAGTCTAGTCTAGTCTATAGCCTAGTCGAGTCTAGTCTATAAGTCTAGTCTAGTCTATAGTCTAGTCTATAGTCTAGTCTATAGCCTAGTCTATAGTCAGTCTATAGTCTAGTCTATAGTCTAGTCTATAGTCTAGTCTATAGTCTAGTCTATAGTCTAGTCTATAGTCTAGTCTATAGTCTAGTCTATAGTCTAGTATATAGTCTAGTCTATAGTCTAGTCTAGTCTAGTCTAGTCTAGTCTAGTCTATAGTCTAGTCTATAGTCTAGTCTAGTCTATAGTCTAGTCTAGTCTAGTCTATAGTCTAGTCTATAGTCTAGTCTATAGTCTAGTCTATAGTCTAGTCTATAGTCTAGTCTATAGTCTAGTCTATAGTCTAGTCTATAGTCTAGTCTATAGTAGTCTAGTCTATAGTCTAGTCTATAGTCTAGATTAGTCTAGTCTATAGTCTAGTCTATAGTCTAGTCTATAGTCTAGTCTATAGTCTAGTCATAGTCCTAGTCTATAGTCTAGTCTATAGTCTAGTCTATAGTCTAGTCTATAGTCTAGTCTATAGTCTAGTCTATAGTCTAGTCTATAGTCTAGTCTATAGTCTAGGTCTATAGTCTAGTCTATAGTCTAGTCTATAGTCTAGGTCTATAGTCTAGTCTATAGTCTAGTCTATAGTCTAGTCTATAGTCTAGTCTATAGTACTAGTCTATAGTTCTAGTCTATAGTCTAGTTATAGTCTAGTCTATAGTCTAGTCTATAAGTCTAGTCTATAGTCTAGTCTATAGTCTAGTCTAGACTCTAGCTAGTCTAGTCTAGCTATAGTCTAGTCTATAGTCTAGTCTAGTCTATAGTCTAGTCTATAGTCAGTCATAGTCGTCTATGTCTAGTCTATAGTCTAGTCTATAGTCTAGTCCTAGTTGTCTATACGTCCAGGTCTATAGTCTAGTCTATAGTCTAGTCTATAATCTAGTCTATAGTCTAGTCTATAGTCTAGTCTATAGTTTAGTCTATAGTCTAGTCTATAGTCTAGTCTATAGTTTAGTCTATAGTCTAGTCTATAGTCTAGTCTATAGTCTAGTCTATAGTCTAGTCTATAGTCTAGTCTATAGTCTAGTCTATAGTCTAGTCTATAGTCTAGTCTATAGTCTAGTCTATAGTCTAGTCTATAGTCTAGTCTATAGTCTAGTCTATAGTCTAGTCTATAGTCTAGTCTATAGTCTAGTCTATAGTCTAGTCTAATCTATAGTCTAGTCTAGTCTAGTCTAGTCTAGTCTAGTCTAGTCTAGTCTAGTCTAGTCTAGTCTATAGTCTAGTCTAGTCTAGTCTAGTCTAGTCTAGTCTAGTCTATAGTCTAGTCTAGTCTATAGTCTAGTCTATAGTCTAGTCTATAGTCTAGTCTACAGTCTAGTCTATAGTCTAGTCTACAGTCTAGTCTATAGTCTAGTCTATAGTCTAGTCTATAGTCTAGTCTATAGTCTAGTCTATAGTCTAGTCTAGTCTAGTCTAGTCTAGTCTATAGTCTAGTCTATAGTCTTGTCTTGTCTATAGTCTAGTCTTGTCTATAGTCTAGTCTACAGTCCAGTCTAATCCCTAGTCTTGTCTAAATCTATATAATCTATAACCGAAAAAGTTGTTATAACTCAATAGTATTTCAAAATTTCAATTATCCATGCCTGGTATCTGGGTATCTTTATTGTTGTTGCTTCTGCTGCTTTAATACAATCACGTACAATTTAATATGAATCCCGAACACAAACAGATACAACAACAATATAATCACCAAACAGCTAGAGTTAAAGATACACTTTCTTTATACGTACTATACCTTTTCTTTATACATATTTGATTATTTTTCATCATTCAAAAACATTCCATCAAACTTGTTTGATGTGTACTGTCACACCACCATCAACACGACTCCCAACACTAATGGTATGTGGTGCAAATCTTTGGCAAATTATCAAACTTATTCAAACATGTTGTATGTTGTATAATGAATGTATGAAGTTTGATGACTTTTACTCGATAAGTTGTATAAAAATTGTAAAGCGGAACAACAAACACAAAAGAAAAAAAAAGCAAAATTATAACAACACTAAAGAAAAAATAAACAAATTAAAATATTTCTTTTTGTCCTGTTGTGTGTGTATAAATATGAACGGTGGGAACTTTAGTGTTTGAATGGCGAAAGGATAATTCTAGGTACAATTTGTAGTTGCAAAAGCAGGTGTTTTTAGCACAATCATCATTAGGTAGTTATTATTATGATTAATAATTGAGGGAAAATACACAATGAAGAGGAATTTCCCTTAGGTACATAATTTAAATGTTAGTTTTAATAAATTGCCTAAATTTTGAGGGAAATTTTTATACGAATACTGTAAAATGTATGAAATTTTAATACAATAGACCACGATGGATCTAAACTAGTCCAGTACATACATACATAGATCTGTCCGGTTTAGGCCAGACCAATCAATATATAGATAAATAGACTAACCACTGGTCTAGTTAGTAGACTTGTCCTTTTCCACTACTATATAGCCTAATCCATAAACAAGATAATATACATACTTGTCAATAGATTCTTCAAGGGACTTATCTAATCTATGGACTGGCTAGATTAGTCGACAGATTTGCCACATATTAGTCTGTAGACAAGTCAATTGACTATTCAATAGAATAGGGTTGTCCACATACTAGTCCATGGACAAGTCAATAGACTAATCTTTTGACTAGTGAATAGACATGTCAATAGGAATAGTCAGTATACTAATCCATAGACTAATTAAAAGAGATATCAACAGACTATTCCATTGACTAGATCATAGTCCATAGACTAATTTATAGACTAATCCATAGACTTGAAAATAGACTAGTCCATAGACTAGACAGTACATTTGTCAACAGACTTGACTATAGACCTGTCAATACACTATCTATTGTCAATAGACCAGTCAATCGAGTAGTCAATATAATAATACATAGACTTGTCCACTCCATAGGCTATACGAGATGATTTCCTGCAGACTAGTAAATAAGTAGATTAGTCTATAGCCTAAATAATAGACTAGCCCATAGATCAGTAAATAGATTGTCCATGAACTCAACAGACTCTTCAATATATTAGTCAATAGACTAGTTCATATAGTCTAGTCAATAGACTGATCCAATGACTACACAATACACTTGTCAACAGATCTGTCTCTAGAGTTCTCTATAAATGAATCCATAGAGTAGTAAATAGAGTTGCCCACATACTAATACTTATACAAGTCAGGAGACTAGTCCATAGACTACACTACACACTTATCTATAGAATAGTCAATAGACTTATCTATAGACTAGTCAGTAGTCTTGTCAATAGGCTAAACAATAGACTTGTCTATAGACTAATAAATAGATAAATCCATAGACTTTCTCCATAGGCTAGATAATAGATCAGTCCATGGAATTGTCGATAAGCTTGTCAATAGATTCTCAATGGACCTGCCCATAGACTAGACAATAATAGACTTGTCCCTAGATAAGTCCATACAACTTTATATATTTTAAACAATGCTAATTAATACATTTCATATTTCTTCAGATCTGATATAGTATACATCCTCTAATGAACGAAACACCTCTCCTACGTTA